CTCCTAGAGTGAGCAGAACCCCTGACACTCCTGTTTGTATCTGTCAGCCAGGACTCCCTGTTGCTGTTAACCTGGACCAATCAGGGAACTCTTATTCTATGCAATCAACCTGGCTGACCTTGTTTCAATCATTACACTCTGCTTTTCCATCCTTTATAGTAAACACCAATATAATTCCCAATGCCAGATGTTAAGCTAACTACATTTTACTTTTACCAGATTTTTGTGTTCCTCCCTTTTTAAATAAGGATGCTATATTCAGAGTACAGCGGGACCTAATTCAGGTGGGGCAATCGGCCGAGGAGTGGCAGATGGAGTTTAATTTAGATGAATGTGAGGTGCTGCATTTTGGAAAGGCAAATCAGGGCAGGACTTATACCCTTTAATGGTAAGTTCCTGGGGAGTGTTGCTGAACAAAGAGACTTTGGAGTGCAGGTTTAATTCCTTGAAAGTGAGTCCCAGATAGACAGGGCGGTGAAGAATGCATTTGGTATACTTGTCTTTATTCGCCAGTGCATTGAGTATGGGAGTTGGGAAGTCATGTTGTGGGACATAGGTTAGGCCACTTTTGGAATACTGCATTCAATTCTGATCTCCCAGCTATAGGAACGATGTTGCAAAACTTGGAAGGATTTGGAAAATAGGATGTTGCCAGGGTTGGAGGGTTTAACCTGTGGAGAGAATCTGAATAGGCTGGGGCTATTTTCCCCGGAGTGTTGGAGGCTGAGGGGTGACCTTATAGAGGTTTATAAAATCGTGAGGGGCTTGGATAGGGTGAATAGCCAAGGTCTTTTCCTCAGGGTGGAGGAGTCCAAAACTAGAGGGCATAGGTTTAAGGTGAGAGGGGAAAGATTTAAAAGGGATCTAAGGGGTAACTTTTGTACACTGAGGGTGGTGCGTGTGTGGAACGAGCTGTCAGAGGAAGTGATGGAAGCTAGTACAATTACATTTAAAAAGCATCTAGATGAGTATATGAAAACAAAGGGTTTAAAGGGATTGGGCCAAATGCTGGCAACTGGGACTAGATTTAGGATATCTAGTCAGCATGGAAGAATTGGCCGGAATGGTCTGTTTCCATGCTGTACAGCTCTATGACTCTGTTGTCAGTTTTCCAATCCTCTGGGATTCTTGAAGAATCCAATCTTTGCAAGATTTCCACCAGTGCATCCACTACCTCTGTAGCTACTTCCTTTAATATCCTCGTATAAACCTGTCAACACCAAATGACTTATCAGCTTTCAGCCCGTTTCCCAACTAATTTTACTCCTGTGATAGTTATTTTATTTACTTCCTCATCAATTTGGCCTGTTGATTATTTAGTATTTTTGGAATGCTACTTGTGTCTTCCAACATGAAGACCGATGCAAAGTATTTATTTAACTCATTTATTATTCCCATTAATAATTCCCCAGCCTCATTCTCTAAGGACCTATGTTCACTTTGGCTTCTCTCTTGCCTTTTGCATAGCTAAAGAAGCTCTTCTATCTTTTATATATTACCTGCTGTACTCTCAAAGTTTACTTTTTCCCTCAATTATTTTCTGGTCCTCCTTTGTCAGTTTTTAGAACTTCTCCAATCTTTTGTCTTATCACTACTCTTTGAAATGCTATCCATCAGCCCCATTCCCTTGGTCTTTCTCGATAGTTCTACTAATCTGTGCTTTTAAATTATTTATCCTATTCATTTTCAAAAGGTATCATTGAATTTGCTTCTACCAGCCCTTCCGGTGTCCATTCCAATTCATAACAACTCTGCGTGTAAAACAAAATCACAACTTCACTTTTTGCTATTCATCTTAAAGTTGAATCCTACCATTACTTCCGTTACTGGAAACATTTTCCTTCTTTGCTGATTATTTGTAACAAAGAATCTTCATGACTTAAAACACTCTAAAGACAAGACACCTGTAAATCTCTTGTTCAAATGCACACAGTTCCAGATTGAGCAATCTCGCACTGGAGAGGGAAACACTTGAGAACCACCACCCTGCCCATGATGCCCACCCTCTACCTCCAGGTATCTTACCTGTGGCTTGGATCTGGTAATGAATCTAGGTCTCGGGTAGGTATTACACAGGCATCAATCAATGTTTCCAGTAGGATTGGCCACCAGCTCTCAAGGACAGGATGTACAACCCTAGAGCTCTTGATTCAGGGGAGATTGTGCTACTGTCCTGTCAAGTGCCTAAGCAGCAATTGATGTAGCAGAATTTCCAAAAAGTGGTGGGGTGGATTTCTCACCAGTTCTTTAAATAACAGTGGCCAAGATCCCTGCTGTCTCCCATTAAATACAACCCATGGTGATTTGGGTGTGGAATTTTCTCCATATGGTTGTGAATGTTAGGTCAATTGAAATTTTGCAGTCTGAGACTGACAGATATGTTTAGTTAACGGTATCAAGGGCTGTGGATCAAAATTAGGCAATTAGATTACAGATATAGGCCAACTTTGACCTCATTAAATTGCACAACAGGATTGGGAATTGATTGGTGTACTTCAGTTCTTATAAAATTACATTTCCATTCATCTAGTTGGAATTGCATGATGGCTTGTTTGTTTGTTCCACATTTCTGCAATTGCCCTTGGCTCATTGCTCCTTTATGTAGGCATTGTGGTTATAGGGACATGGAAGGAGCATGGTAACCGTGGAGGCCATGTAGAGAGAAAGGAAGGGACAAGTGAGTATGGATAGCTAACCTTTCAAAATTGTTCTCAAATCTAGACCATTGTTTGTGGCTCCTGAGCCATGGAGAAGATAGCCATATTTGATGTAAATTGTTGGGGACTGGACAGATGCTTACCTTTTGCCACAGAGCTAACTAGAATGGGAATGCAAAATGCAAGCTTTGTACCTAGACAGCTATCACAAGAAAATCACGAACACTGGGAATTGGGCAGAAATCCCAGAATCAGCAGTACCCTCCTGTCCCATTTGTAAATGATTTGGAGTCAGCCTGACCCCTCCAAAATCTGGCCGCTAGAACCAAACTATAGTTGGTTCCTTAATGAAGAGTTAAAGTGTTTATTTCATCTGGTGCTGTTTTATATATTTGTCAGGTTAGAACCCAGAATTATTTCAAATATCATTCAGATAATTGTAAGGTTCACCAATTTGTGAATACATGGCTTTTTCTTTTGAATAACTCCACCCTAAAGCATTTAGCCCCACATTCATGAGAGAATTGCTGTTTGCACGTTCTATAACTTTTTGTGGTCTTATTAGCAGAAACCAAAATGTTGACATGTTTTTGTTAGTGCTGATGCCAGCTTATCTGATGTGCCCATCATATTTTCCAAACTTTGAATTAATATGTGACCTTCTGCCAACTGGGGTGACCAACCATTTCAAAAAGTGACATGAAATAAAACTTCTCCTGATTAAATCTCCAGCTTTAAACTTCTGTGGAACGTAACTGGCCCAGATCTCCAGATTGTCACATGCTGGATATGTGACACAAGCTTCACGTTGGAAGCCAACAAGAGCCCTAACTTGCTGATCTCTGTTGAAACTGTCAGGGAAGTTTGAACTTCCCCTGGGCAGTTCCCCTTCTTCCTGGGAGCCTCTGCAAGAGTTTCTGACTCCAAGTCCAGGTTGGAGACTTTGTACAGTTCTGAAGTACTATTTAAAATTAATTTGTGTGAAGAAGGCATCACTGGCTAGGCCAGTATTTACTGTCTGTTTTTAATTGCGTAGAAACCAGTTTGGAATAAACCACATTGCTGTGGGTCTGGAGTCAGATTTAAACCAGATCAAGAAAGCTTGGTAGATTTTCCTCTCTAAAGGACGAGAGTGATCCAAATTATTTTTTATGACAATCAACAGCAGTCCAATGGTTGCAATTAGGCCAGATTTTTATACCAGATTTTCAACAAATTCAGATTTCATTACCCGCCATGGCGGACTGAAAACCCATGCCCCAGAACACTAGCTTGTGGCTGAGCATTACTAGCCCAGTGAGATTATTATCTTGCACTGTGTCCCCTAAATCTTAACTGATTAGTCACTCAGGAAATGTTAGACATTAAAACCCACACTAACTCCTGGATAACTACAGAATTGACCTCCCAACCACTCATATTGAGCCCAGTCCTCACCTGACAACCCCTCATTGATATCCCGACACCCTGACTACTAATTATTCCCTGCCAATCCCCCATTCTCCCTTGCCAAATTGTGACCCAAATGCTCTTGCTGACCATTTGCCTAATCCCTGACCAGACCTCACTAAACCCAACCACTTGATATTCTCCTGCTGCTCCTAATCTGACTATCCCCAGACACACCTACCCACCTGCCAGCTTACCTAACTACCCAGCTCACATGTGCCATCCAGTTCACCTACCATCCTATCCATGCTACCTCATCCACCTACCAGCCTACTCAGCTGCCATTGTTGCCCACCTTGCAATCGCACTCAGTTGCCACCGCCCAACACATTTGGCACTTCACTAACTTTCCAACCATACTCATTTACCATTTTATCAACCCACTACCTGATTCGTTACCCTACCCACTTACCACCTGCACACCTATTCACTTACAACAACCACTGACCCAACCAATTCACTCACTTAACATTCACTAATATTCAGACTGGACACTTAAACTTACCATATGGCAGATACTGCTGTGAAAAGGGAACAGAGGCATGGCCTGACATCCCTTGACTTTACTTCAATGTGATGAAGCACTCGGAGAGACACACTGTCCACATTTCTGGAGAAGCCGGTTTGGAAGATCTGGCAAGAAATGTTGAGTTGTGTTGATTGGCGACCTTGATGAATGCTGCTTCTCGGAAGAGGAACCAACGTATTTGGTAAGTCTGTTCCAAATTTTTTGGTAAAGCAGACGTGACAGACTCACTGCTGTTTTTGTGGAACTGTATTTTCTTTAAGTAAATGAACAAATCTACTACCTTTATTTATTTTTAGTAGTGCCTGAATCTTTGTAATTTACATCATGTGATTTATCTCACCTCTTGTTTTATTACTGTTTTACAGAGCAGTTTGAACAGTGATCAAGGTCTTGGCTTGGCCTCATTAAGTGTCATCTATGCAGCTCTTATCCTGTCTTCAATGTTCCTTCCACCATTGATGATAAAGTATCTTGGTTGTAAATGGACCATTGTTATCTCCATGTGCTGCTACGTTACATTTTCAATTGGCAATTTTTATCCTAGCTGGTAATGATATGTAATCTAACCTTTTACTAATGTTTTGATTGATTTGCTGGAATTATTCCACCTGGGCCCCCAATCTCCTGCCATCAGGCTAATTCTTTCCAAATAAAAAGCACCCATAGTTTAAAATTGAACTCTCCTCTCCAAATTCAGGGATTGGACCATTCCTGCCTGCTGGTTTCGAGAATAGAAAAGCCTTGCTCCAAGATCGGATTGTTGTCCAGAGTACAGATTTGGATCCTGTCCCCTCCCCTTGGATTCTTAGGTCAAACCTATCTGGTCTAATAGCTTGCCAGCGGGTGCATCCTACCTAAATTGGATTCAATCCAGTTGGTTAAGCAGAATGGAAAGAATCAAAACATTAATGTTGCAGGGAAGCCCAAACCTCTGTTTTTTGAAACCCTTTCCTCCCAAGTCTATGTAACTAGTTCCTGTTGATGTTTAGATTGATGTGTCCAGATATCAGGCAGAGCAAGTTTAATGACACACAAGCTTGAATTGTTTGCAAACATGTGGTGGTAAATGTACCAAGGATCCCTTGAGTCAGATCCCAGTTCAATTTTATATACTTTACTAACAAACATGTTCCAAGATGTTATTACACACTCTGGAGTCGGTGGGACTTGAACCTGTGCTCCTTGGCTCAGAGGTAGGGATATTACCACTGAACCACAGAAGCTCCTCTTTGTTCAGTTTCACACTTGTCCCATTTTATTGTGTTATTAAGCTTCTGAATTAAAATGGGCAGATGTGCTGAGATGTTAATAAAATGGTGAGGTCATATGTTTCAGTTTCCAACTCTATCATGTTCAATCACCATCTTGTTTGTACAAAATACCAACCAGAATTAATAAATGCTAAACAAAAGGGATATATTTATCTAAAGCCTGTCAGATCCTTTGTAAAGGTTTACAGAAATACTTGTCTCTCAGATAATTTCATTTTATTTTAACTATTGATCGCTGTGCATTTTTCCTTTGCACCTTCAGCTCTCGTCTCTTCCCTGTGTACTAAGAGGACAAAAGGAGCTGGATAGTAGGTGGGAGAAAGGAGTTAGGTCAGATTCCCTGTCATCTATAAATGTTCTCGTCCTCGTTTCTACCCCTGGATCCTTTTCTCCTTTGTATCACTCATTCCCCTCCTCTAGAAAGACTCTTAATGCTCAGTGCTATGCCCTTCCTGTACAAGCTGCTGCTCTTCATCTTCAATGGTCTCACTTCCTGAGGGTGCAATATTTATTTCCAGCTGTAACCTTTCCTGGTGTTCATGTGGACTCCAAACAACCTTGCTCACAGTTCCACAGTCAAGTGATATCAAGAGGCGATGACCCCTGATGTGCCAAACTTCATAATGCTGACTCTTTTCATGACTTGTGATGACTGATGTAGCTTTTACTGATATTATTTACTGATGTAGCCCTTTTGCCTGTGATAAGCACTACAGTTACTTTACAAAACTTTTCTTGTCTCCAGCACCAGCCATTGACGTGGATCATGCCTCTGCCCTAAACTGGTCTGAGGCATACTGCTGCTGAATGCCCCCAGGAAAATACAAATCTTTATCAGAGATATGCTTTTAACAAATGTCTAATGATATTGATTGGCCTGAATAGTGTTCCACCCCCCCCTTCCCGTAATGAGACAGGGGTGAAGGAGACTGGATATCAATAAGCATAACATCATCTTCATTTATATTAACTATCTGTCTCTCTTGTAGTCTGATTCGAGTCCTGAGACACCAGCTATTGATATCGTATTAGGAATTCTATGATTCTATTCTATGATTCTGTGATTCATTAGGAGATTTTCACTGTTTTCAGAAGAACTGTCAGGCAGGAACGGAAATGCATTGCAGATATCTGTCACTACTCGCAGACATGCAGCTCAAAGATACATTGTTTGTTGGAACAATTTGTTTAATCTGATTTTCCCTAGACAAGTGAAAATTGTAGGACGGATAACTGTAGTTTTATAAAGTGAGAGAAATACCCAAGGTTCACGGAATAATGGATTGCACTCGTGTGGCTATTGTGTCCTTAAATCATTGCCACCAGCTGCATTAACAAGAAGGGATTGAACTGTAAGGGAAAGAATTTTAAAATGTGTGAGTGTGTAGATTTGTGGGCAAATATGCAAGCCCATTAGGAATCCAACTGCAACCCTACCACTTCCACATATAACTTCAGTGCATTAGGCTGTGTACAAATAATGGCATGATGAGAAGCAGGTTATCAATTTTAAAATGCTAATTGGCTAATTACAGCAATTTTAATGTGGGCTTTGGAGTTTAACTTTGGCTGTACAGGTTTCCCAGGCTTTCTGGAACTCACCAGTGAAAGCAAAGTGCAAAGAAAATGGCAGTTGAGATGCTGAAGCCATGACTGGGAATTATACCAATTAATTATTCACCACTACTTTCTTTCTTGCTTGTCTGAAAAAGTTTGTTCACAGTGCTAATGTTCAGGGGTTTCTGTACACACTTTGCTGGTAAATTGAAACTAAATTCTAGTTCTCTAATTCTCCACCCATTCCTTCCTAAGGATATTTTTTCCCATTAAGACTACAGTACCTTAAACCTTCAATCCTTTAGAAAGGCTTGATTTCCTGGGGAATAAGGAGTAGAGAAGGCACAAAGAAACCTATTCAACACCCTCTAATCAGGAGGGAGCTCCAGTGTGATCACATGAAATCAAATAGGTCACTCAGTGAACATTCTAACAAATCATAAGCTCCTGTGAACCAGCAAACAGTCAAATCAAAGCCAGTGATTGGAATATACAGATTGGATTACTTTTCATTACTATTCAGTTATTTCTGATATGAATTTTTGGATTTCCTCTTGTGAAGACAGATCCAAAATACTACTTAATGCATTTATCATTTCTGTATTCCCATTATAATTTTTCATGTCAGCCTTATAGGAACTTATGTTAATTTTCACAATTTTCTACCTGGAAATGGCTGATCACATCACTCAAAAATCTGTGGATTGAAGCACACAAGCAATATCATGAATGTTATAAGACTGCAGAAGGGTGATGGAGCAAGTCAAGGGAATTTTGAAGATCACTTAAGGTGTTTGGCCAAACCTGTCAGTATGCACAAGTTAGACAAGTCACGCTGTGCTACATTCTGCACAACATCACATGGCAGGAGCGAAGAGGCACATAGCTACAGAATTTTCTTCGAGGTTACCAAAGTGAAGGAGGCGTGCAGAAACTTATTAGGCAGACACCATCAGTTTATCTATCCAACAAATACATGTAAATTTCAAAGCTTGCCAAAAACAACATCAGTGCATAACTACAAGTTGCTCTGATCTATTTTGATTCATAAAGTATATATTCTGAAACTGAAGAAACTGTGAGCAGAGAACAGCAGAGCTAAGAATAAGTTTCAGTGCATCAAATAAAGCCACAGAATAAAACAGTTGCAACAGATCTCATTGAGGAATTGAAGAGAGTAAACAGATTGAATAATGTAGTTACATAATCAAAAGAAATAGACCGGTATTGTTCACTGAAATTGACACAGGAGACAGACCGTATTAGAGATGGTAGGTAGGAAGAGATCATGTTAGAGGTGGTTGATAGAATCAAATGAAAAGAGATGGGGTTTAATGGTAATTGATGGAGATTACAATTTTAAAAGAAAAAGCATTACATGGATGGCGAGATGAGAATCGGTGGTAGTGTGTTATGAGGTGGAAGAATAATTTCATTGCCATTTTTGGTGTATTTCTAATACATAATCAGGGCAAGTAAAATAATAGAAAGTTGGACAGAAGTTGTTTCTGTCAATTTTGTCTCGAGTTCCCTTGCAGTTGGTAAGGGGGAGCCAGTGGGTGTGGTTTACTTGGACTTTAGAAGGCATTTGATAAAGTCCCACAAAAGAGATTGTTACGAAAAATTAAAGTGAACAGCATTGGGTGTAATGAGTTACACGGATAGAGAACTGATTGGCAGCATACAGAGAGAGATATAAACAGGAGTGTCAGAGGCTCTGTTCACCCAGAGAACTGGCTCTGTGCAAGCTGAACCAGTGTCAAGTATCATAGCATAGTATCCCTACAGTGTTGGAACAGACCCTTTGGCCCAACAAGTCCACACCGACCCTCAGAGCATCCCACCCAGACCCATCCCCCTCATCTACACCTCCCTGAACACTACAGGCAATTTAGCATAGCCAATCCACCTAACCTGCACATCTTTGGACTGTGGGAGGAAACCCACGCAGACACGGGGAGAATGTACAAACTCCACACAGACAGTCGCCCAAGGCTGGAATTGAACCCAGGTCTCTGGTGCTGTGAGGCAGCAATGCTAACCACTGTGCCACCCTTAAACTGAGTACTTAAACTCAGTACTATGCACGTGTAAATAAAGGGTGACTTGCCGATGGGACACTGGCCTCTGTGGTTTTATTTCAGATAGTAGCAGCAACTTTTATTATAAACAACAACTCATACAACACAGAGACATGCATGCCCATGCCACATGGTGGACCTTCTTTTTGGAATTGAACATGACTTGTTCTCTGGTCTCTTAATTCACCAAATCATTCACCCCCACCTATCCTGAAAAGTTTAAAGGATACCAGTGGGCACCATGTGCTGTATCTAAAGACAATTGGACAAGGATGAGACTGCAACTAAAAGAATAACTTTTTTAAAAAAATGCAGATCAAGGAGGTGTAATCTTTCACAGCATGTAAACACATGGTCTGTGGACACCACAGCACCATGTATAAACAGTTGGCCTGAGAGGCTCTGAATCACATTAATCTATGGCTGTAAGGAATTGATGCATACAACACTCTCCACTCCAGCGTCCTGATGGGAAGAGGGACAACTCCTGTGTTTAAAAAAAATCTTTTAAATTAAATAACCAACAATCAATTAAACAAAATACCCAAACAAGTATTTTTTAAAGGTACCCGATCCTCTTTTTGAATGCCTCCACCAATTTGTCAAATTATCCAATTGATAATGAACAAACAACTAATTTTGCCTACCATGGGCAGTGTAAGAATAACAAAATTCAAAAAGGTGGAGAAACAAGGGAGGGAACTAAATAAAAATAGTGTTAAAGAAAATACTGCACTTCTTACATTTAAATGCAAAGGTGGCTTTGATTGATTGATCTCTGTGTTATTGGTCTACCACACTTCTACTTCACCACTCTGATACACCAAGAAGATACTTACTGATGTTTTGTTTTGAAAAATCCACTATAAAATCACCTGATTAATTAATTATCCAAGTAACAAATCATAAGTACTACCCAGTAGGGCAGTGTAACAACAACAAAAAAATAAAAAGGAGGGGAAAAGACGGGAGGAAACTAAATCCCCAACCTGTAAAAGACTTTGCTCACTTAAAAAGAGGCGATAAAACTGGAGTTTCTTTTTATTCATTCAGAGCATATGTGCTTGGCTGGCTGGGCCAGTATTTACTGCCCATCCCTAGTTGCCCTTGGGAAAGTGATGGTAACCTTACTTCTTGAACTGCTACAGCCTATTTTGTGTAGGTCCACCCACTGTGCTGTTAGGGAGTTCCAGGGGTTTGACCAGTGACAGTGAAGGATATTTGAAAGATGTTCTGTAAGCAGCCTTGGTGAATGCAGTGCATGTTATAGATGGTTAAGAACTGCTACTATGATGTGCCAATTGTGGAGGGAGTGAAAGTTATAGATGCAATGGCGGATAGTTAGGCTGCCTTATTGTAAAAACTGAAAGAACTGCGGATGCTGTAAATAGGGAACAAAAACAAAGTTGCTGGAAAAGCTCAGCAGGTCTGGCAGCATCTGTGAAGAAAAAAAAGAGTTAACGTTTTGGGTCCCTTCATGTGTAGACTTTTTCCGTTAAAAATATGACTTATTTGGATTTGTCAGTGAGGCCTAAACTTCACTGGAGTCAAAACTAAATGAAGGAGAAGAGCATATGACCTGTATTTTCTCAATAATTGCTAAGAAAGATATGAGATAATTTCTTATAATTTAAGACTTAATCTTTCAAGTGACATAGCTTATCTTAAACACCAGTCTTATCTTCATCGTGCCATATTTCAAAGAAAGTGCCTTTACTGAATCCATTACCCATTTTATAAGATGACAATACATGTTTGCCTCTTATCATTACTTCAATGAATCTTTCAGCATCAAATAATTGCAAAGTTTCTAACCTCCATAAATGATGCAGTACAATGTCACTTTGTATTTTATTTTGTTATAGGTACAAAATTAATTAAAACAATGCACTTTTGCCTAAGACTGTGCTTCATCAAGGTGCCTAAACTTGATTCTTAACACCAATTCTTCTTAGCATAGGTGAAATATGAGGGCTAAAATGGTGGTAAAAGGTTGCTCAAATTCTCTAAAAGGATAATGTAAGTGGGCCTCTCTTTAATGATAGGTAAATGAGGACACCTCCCATGGCGACGCATCATCCTTCTTGAGTAGAAGGTTTAGGTTTCTGGATATAAATTTGTTATGATAATCATGTTCCGTGAATGAATCTTTAGATTGCTGGCAGTTCCTAATTAACTCTAGGTTTCCCTAGGTTGTCATTTTAAACATATTCAAAATCACAACAGTTATAAAGATAAATTAATCTGGCTGTGGCACAAAGGTTAAGGTAATAGTGGAACAATGATGCTCGAAAATATAAGTCACAATTTTACGAAGTAATTTAAGTATTCTCAAAATTAAGAAAGGTTGGTTAGACTTAGTAAGTACATCAACACTGATGCACTCCATTGATATGACTATAATGTATAACTTTATCACATACAATATTTGTCTGAAAATTGCTCTTGTATAAGCCCAATCACAGTAGAATTGCACTTGTATCTACAGTAAGTGAATGACATCTAAATGGATCATCCAAATATGTGTTGCATGAGATATTAATAATTATGATCAGCACTATTAAATAAATTTACTCTGTTGCAATATTCACTACTTGTAAAATGATGAACAAGACATAGCAAGTACCTACTATTATGCATAAATGTAGAATATTCTATTCCAAGCTTATAAATCTGGTAAAATCAAAATTGGATAAATCATATCAGTTAATCAATCCTTGATGTGAATTATTAAAATGGTGCAATGAAATAGATATTAATGATTAATCCTGTAGTTGTAACGAAGATATTGTTTTTCATAGGTATACACTTATTCCCACTGCAATTATCCTTGGAACAGGAGGAGCGCCACTTTGGTCTGCTAAATGTACCTATCTTACCATTTGTGGTTATCTATTTGCAAAAAAACATAGTAAGATTGGAGAAAACATAGTAAACCACTACTTTGGGATATTCTTCCTTTTATTCCAGTCATCTGCTGTTTGGGGCAATCTATTGTCTTCATTAATATTTCAATACAGTTCCGTAAAAGGTAAGAAGACACCTGTTTGGAAATACTACAATATAAGACGCATTGTTATCTATTAAATCCCTTCTACTTTTTCCCTTTAGAAAATGTACTTAATTACTTTGTTGCATTGATAATTACGTAGATTAAGGCCTAGTGTTTCGTTCAAAGGTCAGTTGTGCAGTCAGGAGAATTCATGGCTCCACTAACCCGATTTTTAAAAACAGCTGCTGGCATATCAGATTGATCTTGGCTCACAGACTATAAAAGAATTTGGGGTGGGAAAACCTTGAGGTAGTGAGAGGATGCCAGATACGGACATAAGCTCCTATACTGTCCAAAATCTTAACATAAAGAATGAAACATAAAACATCCATCCAGCTTACAACCCTTCACTCCCGTATCCATTGTTTATGTCCATCCTTGCCAGCCGAGAAACCTCATACTGTACCCATTCCTCATAATCCCTCATACCCACCTTGCCTTTGTAGTCACTCCCATGGCCCTGCTAGTCCTTAATGCTAACTCAAGGCAATCCATGCCCTGCAACTCACAACCTTTTTAGTAGACTGGAAAATCAGATTGGTAATAGTAACCTCGATGAGGAGTTCATAGAATGCTTTTGAGATGGTTTCTTAGAGCAGCATGTTTGGCGACCAACCAGAGAGCAGGTTGTAATAGACTTGGTACTATGTAATCTGACAGAATTCATTAATTACCTCAGAGTAAGGCATTGTCTGCTGACTCCAGAACTGCAGGGCAAATGCATATGCATGCTCACTTGAAAACGTGCACGATTTAAGACCTTCTACATCGTTGCGTCAAGTGCAAAGTCTGCATTATGCATGCAGGACTTACACAGTTAATGGTAGGGCCCTGGGGTGTGTTGCTGAACAAAGAGACCCAGGGTTGCAGGTGCATAGCTCTTGAAAGTGGAGTCATAGGTAAACAGGACAGTGCCTTCATTGGTCATAACATTGAATTTTAGAGTTGAGAAGTGATTTTGCAGCTGTATAGGACATTGGCGAGGCCATTTTCAAGATACTGTGTACAATTATGGTCACCTTCCTATAAGAAAGATGTCGTTAAACTTGAGAGGGTGTGGAAAAGATTTACAAGGATGTTGCTGGGATTGGAGGGTTGGAGTTATAGGGAGAGTCTGAATCGGCTGGGGCTATTTACGCTGGAGCGTTGGAGGCTGAGTGGTGATCTTATTCAGGTTTATAAAATCATGAGGGGCATGGATAGAGTGACTAGCCAAGGTCTTTTTCTTAGGGTAGGGGAGTCCAAAGCTAGAGGGGTTAGGTTCAAGGTGAGAGGAGAAAAAATTAAAAAGGACCTGAGGAGTAATATTTTCATGCAGAGGATGATGCATATATGGAACGAGCTGCCAGAGGAAGTGGTGGAGGTGCATACAATTACAACATTTTAAAGGCATTTGGATGGGTATATGAATAGGAAAGGTTTACAGGGATATGGACCAAATCCTGGCAAATGGGACTAGTTCAGATTGGGATGTCTGGTCAGCGCAAATGATTTGGACCAAAGGGTCTGTTTCCATGCTGTGTGACTCTATGGACAAAATATAAATAACAGCATAGAGTCAATCTCCTGCCTGTGCACAATTGCATATTGTGTCTTTAAGTCTGATATTGTCTTTAACATTCCTTGTTAATCATAGATGGTGGGGTCAGTCCTTTGGAATTTTTCTTACTCTTTGGAATGTATTTATTCTCTGTATTCTGAAATATCTTGCTGTCTGAACAGCTCCAGAACATGTTATTTTAAGAAACCACCTTGTAAAAAATTGTATGAACTCCTCATCTAGGCTACCTTTGCCCACCCGACCTCTCCAGTCATAGATTAAAATGTTCCATGATTATTGCCATACCTTTCAGATAAGCTCCCATTATTTCTTCCTTTATTCTCCACCCTACCATAGGTTTACTTCTAGCAGATCTGTACATCACTTCCACGAAAGTGACTTCTTGCCTTTATCACTTGTCCTTTCTACACATACTGATTCCATATCCTGGTTTCCTGAACTTAGGATGCAGGGTGTCTTTGTGGCTGTGGCAAGTTGCAGAGTTGTGTGGGCTGTTGTATAATATTTCTTTAAAAGTCAGTGACTTTCAAGGGTAAGCAGCAAAAGATTGGTGATGTAGCAGGATACTCAAAGCTTTAGGCTAGAACAAGGAACATATCATTAGCGGAGATAACAAGGTGTAGAGCTGGATGAACACAGCAGGCCAAGCAGCATCAGAGGAGCAGGAAGGCTGACGTTTCGGGCCTAGACCCTTCTTCAGAAA